AAAAAAATGATAAGTGCGTCTCCGGATTTGTCATGACAGTAAGAAACTGTAACTTAAACCATCAATAATTCAGAATATAGTTATAATAATCCGGAGGCATGTTGTTGATGTGAAATATCCATATGACTTAATAAAATTAGGTTAGTTCAAATACACAAAAAACCCCGCTTAATATCTTTCTCCTTTTGTTAAGGCCCACATTTCAAAACCTATTTTTGCAATAACCGCAGTATATCGAGCAGCAACAATATATAAAACTCTACATATTTCCGCGAACTTTCTTCTTACATTATTTTTTGAATATAATCACGCATGTACTGGTATCTGACTAAAATTGGAATCTTTTTATTATAAGAATTTTAATCATCTGAATAAAAGAACGGAGTTCTTGCAAAACAAACTTTCTGAGAAACATGATCAATACGGTAGTAGTTATATTTGTTTAGGTTTTTTTTTTTAATTATGAGACCGATAATAAATGTTTTGTATAATTATGATGATATTTTTAGAGCTAGGTGCTACTTGAAATGAAACTTTTATTTACACTGTCTCGTTTATAGGAACATGGTGGGGTTTGGTGCACCATTAACCGGTTTAAACTCCCCAGCAGTCATTTTTATGCTGCTGACCGTTCAAAGTCGGCGCCCCTCTGTGTTCCTCAGATGTATGTCTATGTTGTTTCATACTGTTTTGGTGACACTTTTGCTTGTGTCCCTTGTAATTTTTTCGTCTACGGTAAGTATCTTCCCCATTACCCCTAGTTTTTATTTATTTGATTAACCCCCCTTCCCCCGGTCTCCTGTCCCCTTTGACTTTATGGGCCTATTATTCATTCATTTATTTGTTTTCTTTGAATTCCTACTCAGTTACAAATTGTTTGTCATTTAGTGGTTAACCTGTCCGTGCTCTGTCTTTGCCCTATCCTGTTTTTGTTTGGGGTCCGCCTGGGCTCCTTGCCACTGGTTCTTGTTGCTGGGTCATATGGGGGTTGCGTTCATTGAACGCCGCCTTTCCTTGTTGATCTTGTTTATCATATGGTAAATTATGAGAAATTATTTCATTATCCAAATGTTTACTTATTTGCATTGTAAATCACTGCTTTGTCTTCTGGCACAGTTGTCAATGAATAATTAGCCGACTTATGAGATATTGTTGATATAATGTCACGTAATTAACAACAAAGAAAATAAGGCTCGTACATGCTAAACATATACATGAGATGATATAAAATTACGGAGAATTTTTATGTAGTCATACTGTTGCAGTTTCTCATAGTTCCTATAAGAAACAGAACGGCTTTCCCTTGAAAAGATCTTCATGAATAAAAATATGGTCAAATCCACCAGGGCTAAGTGATTTGATTTTCCAGTTTATATTAGTTTATACTTTAAATATATGTTTTAAAAATCATAAGCTTTTATAAAAACGGCTCTTCATTTCACATGAAGATGATTTGTTACATAGTAAACTGACCGTTTATTTAGAGTAGCTTTATTTGTTTAATATAAATTTCAATTGTCTATTTATAGTTAAGATCAGATAAAGTGTAAGTTTTCAAGTTCTTTGATAGCTTTGTATTCGTTCTCTATTGAAATTTGTTGAAAATGTTCGTTCTTTTGCATTATGATCTTCAAAAAAACATACTCTTTTATCTATCTCGGAACGAAGACAAATAACGTCCCAGCATAATAAAGATGGAGCCAAGGACCTAAACCGCTGCCATGGAACTCACGGTACTTTAAAAGGTGTGAAGTCTGCATGGTTTGAAGTACAAATGAATCTTATCTAAAGCTATGACACAAAGGCCATATAAGCTTTTAATATTTTCAACAGAATATCATTATGAACCGTGTCAAAAGTGGCCCGCATGTCCAGCAGAATAAGAGCACTGCCCTCTTGCCTTTTTCTATACCCTTCACACGATAATAAGTGGTTGTCGCTGACATACTCATTCACACTCATTAATCATACGAAACCAGCTTATTTCAAGACAGGTCTGTCGACTGCATGTTTCTTCTTCGATGAATACATTCGCTTGCGTAAAGAAATATTTACCAAGTCCGCTACGCTAACAAAAGTAACAATTCAACAAGGCAAGGAACATTTTCAATATTTCAAGTAAACGTAGTTTAATAAAGACCAAATGGTATGGCCTGAAATTCCATAATTAGATTTCTCACTCCTTCTTCACTTCTTTCAGTTAGACATCAAACATTGCATTCAAGATTCAAACATTGAATAGTGATATTTTTTAAGTGCAACTCTCCCTGTCTTTGAGTGACTTACGGAGCTTTTCAGAAATTATTCAAATAAAGAAAGCTGAAAATTTCTCAGATAATGAAAAGTTGCTTTCCTTTTTAGACATGAGATTTTTTACAGCAACTTTAAATTTCAACTTGCGTTGTTGGAAGCGAGTTCACTATGTTCTTTTTGTCCTTGCTCATTGAGATACTTTATTAGTAATTGTTTTATATTACTTGAACTTGCATGAATGAACCGTGCTTCAAAATTCTTATAAACAAGCTATCGTCAACTTAGAGCAATATCTAATTGACTCCTATGAAATTTAGACGTTATTCCGTTACTGCACTAAGATGTCGATATGTTTCCAAGATTTATTTTTAAGAACCGTGCGATACGATGATGATCATCCGTCGGAACAAGTTATGTAATAGTTATAGTATATGAAACGAGTTAGTTACGAGGGTATAACACTGGCTGGGGCGACATCAAGGGGTGTTTCTGCTAAAAAATGGCGAGGCCGTTAGGCCGAGACAATTTTTTTTGCAGAAACATCCCGAGATTAAAGGGCTTTTTTCATTTCATTAATTACCTTTGTTTATATTTTTCATTGTATTATATATTTTATTTTATTTTATTGATTTCATTTTTTTTATTATTATTTTTTTTTTTTGCTACTGGGAAAGGTCGTCAACACTGCCCCATTGGAGCCTCTATGAAAAAACTGTATTGATATATACAAGGTGCGAAAAAAACTCGACCGATATATAACAGTCGAGTTTTTTTCCTATATGTATAAATGAAAAAACTGTACTGTTATATATCAATACAGTTTTTAAATGCTCATTGAAGTGTACTGAGTATAATGGGTTAGAAAGAACAAAGGAAAAGCTCACAGCCATGCGATAAAGATGTGATAATGGCCTGAAGATTTCCATAATCGACTGAGAGTCTTAACATTGGATAAGACAAAAATAAACTGTTAAAATGCCATTCATTATTGTCTAAATCGAATATTTGTAAAAAATGATATTCACAACGTTTTTCGTGTGTTAGATGTCTTGCGGATATTCGACATGAACCAGACGCCCCCGGAATGATGAATGATATAACCCCAACCTAAAATTATTGATAATTGATATAGTTTCATACAGATAATCTGAAGAAGTACCTGTCATGTTTTCATCCATTGATTATAAACTTAATTTTATGATATATAACGGTTGACCCTTTATTCCACGGACGCCAACGTTTGAAAATCTCTAAACACAATTTTAATTTTCAATACATAATTTTGGGTTTGGCCATAATTCAAAAATTGCCGAGTAGACAGGCAGCCGACATAATTCATTTCTTAATGATAAGAAAAGACTATTAATTTCGTAACAATTTATATGTATATATATTTAGCTAGGTAATGATTACTTATAAAAGCAATTCGCATGGAAATTTCTGTTCTTAGCAGATATTTCAAAACTGCCACCAGTCTAATAATTTCTGTGCAATGAATCGACATCTTACTGGTGTCACTGTCATAATTAAGTATTCTATAATTATATAGATCAAAAGTTACGTTATCTATTGAACTCTATATAATAGCAAAATACAAATTTTGTTCAAATTATAGCACTTTGGTAAAAAGGAATGGCCTTGCCCAGGGGTTCCCGGTTTTACTTTTATACAAATTATAATAATCTAAAATTTTATCTCTGTAGCAGCAATGATTGGTTGAATTTTATATATCAGACACAACATATTGTCAAGTTGACTGTTCAAATTACATCCTTTGCGGTCAAAATTCGCACTCGCACTGGGTATTATAGTTTTCTAATGTTTATAATTTAAGACTTGAAATTCTTCATCTCTAATCCAGAAAAAGCCAGAAGATAGATTGCTTGCATGAAACCTTGACTAATGAACCACTACTAAATTTGTCCATTCGGTTCTGCCCGGATCAAAATCGAACCAATGACTCCAATACATGACATCAGTGAATATACGGAAGATATGTTACATTGCAGTGAAACATACATTTTTATTGTGAAAATATGGAAACTAAAAGTACGCATTTATTTAAACAGAATTTTTCAATATTTCATTTAAAAATACGTGTATATAATATTTTTTCTGTCAATAATTTTTGTAATCTAATAAAACAGTTTCATACTGACTTTCAAGTATTTAAAATATAATTTTAAAACACCAAATTGAAATGTAAATATCAAATACAGTTGAAATACCACAAAGTACAGACTCCACCATAAACTATAATTATTATTCAATTAAATATATATCAGTATCTTATTAAATATTTATCATATTTCATTTAATATTTATCTGTATTACGTGATTAGTACTCCACTAAAGGAAAATATGTCAAGTGCCAAAACTTTATTTTTATTCGACCAAAATATTACGGCGAATATTGTTATGCACCTTTTTGTTCGTCGTCTTTTAGCAATTTCTTAAGATGGCAGGAAATTTGAACGACTTTGCAGAAATGATAACCATCAAGAGACAATGAACCTATAGTGCAGGTTTGACTTTCCTCAGGTCAAGGTCACATTTAGTCATTTTGTATTAATATCTAAGTTTCGTGCCTGCTCAGTATCTTTTAAACCGATAGAAAGAAATTTAAACAATTTTTAATCTGAAAAGATGTGAACATCATAGACTTGGGCTTCCTGCCATCACAATTTGCCCTGCCTCGGATGGGGGGGGGGGGGGGTACTTGATTCATATATACTTACAAAAGAAAACACAAATTAGAATTTATTTTGTGGCATTAAACTGCCTATTGTTCTTAAATTTAAACGTCAAAACATCATACAGCTATGTTTAAAAAAACTGCAGTTTTTTTTAAAAAGTATTCAAAAACTTGTTATATAAAATAATGATGAGTTTCTTATTGTTTTCTGCTTCTTAGTTCTTCTAATTATAAACGCAATTAAGAAAACAAGAGCTGCCAGTACTTGAAACGCCGTTCCAGTATAGTAAATGCTTGTGTATGAACCAGATATGTCTCGGATTAATCCTGAAAGAAATGCAAATATCAACACTATAAGAAAATAGCTATTAAAGCTGCATTTTATGAATATGAAAAACTATTTTGCGGTCGATCTAACGAGCAAGTATTCTACAATTACATTAACCCCTTTTTGCAGTATTGTCATAAATTTAATCAAATATTGTTTTTTAAAAGGGAAACCCGACGGTAACACTTTAATTTCATTTGCGAATTTTTACATGCAAAAGAAAAGTATAATTAGCTCGTGTACGCGCACAGGCAATCGAAACATCATTGTTATTTTTTTTCTAATCTAAAAAAATAAAATTTATATAAAAAGATCCGCTATATAATGCAGATGTCTCCTTAAATTTGAACTGTTACTTGAAACAATACTTATTGGTTTTCAGTTGAGGTTTAGATGACCCAAAGGCGAAGTTCTAATGCAACAGAAATTGTACTTTTATTTCCGCCACTTTGAGGTAGCAGATATTTACACAACACAAAATTTAATTTTTATCACCTGGGCACCAAAATGAAAACGGTGCCTGATCACACAACGTTTCTGTCTGAAGATATTTTTGTATTGACTCAGTGAATAGATAAGCTTAAACTTAAATATTTCTTGTTTTAACATCTGCCTGTGACGTGTAATAATTATACATCTATTTATTTAATTCAATTGAAATAACAAAACATTTACTTACCATTTAAAGGTGTCAAAACCAAATTACTTATGCCATTAAATGTGAAGACAGTTCCAAGAACAACTGGTAATAAGTTCCTTCCTACAAGCCTGAACGTTACAACAGGAGCAGTAGATCTAAACATTCCTAAGAGAGCAGTTATGGCAAATATGAGCCAACGAGTATTGACAAAAGTGAATAAAAGAAATAAAACAGCTGATACCACTGAACATACCAATGGTAAAATGAGAGAGGATACAAACTTAAACTGGAATACAATGCCTGGTAACAAACGTCCAAATATGCCAAACAAGTTATATAAAAGCAAACCAAACGACACATCATCTTTCGTCAAACCATTGTCATTGTATATATCGCCCAAAAATATTATGATAAAATTTTGAAAAGGAACGGCTAACATTATCCCGAAAACATACAACATTAACCATGAGTTACAGAGGACTGATTTGATAAACACACCTATAATGCTGTTAACACAACATGATTCCATTTTTTTATTCCCAGCATCTGTTACGATAACAGTTTTGGTTTCTTGCTCTCCCTTTAGAACCGGAAATTTTATGGCAAATATAGAATCGGAAACTGTAGCAACGGCCTTTTCAGTCTTTTTAATAGTAATAACACAATTTTTGACTTCTGTTTCTACTTGCAAACTGTTCTGAAAGTCGGCAATTGGATTTGGACTGTTCCCCTGTTGAGTATCTCTTTTCAAATCCAGTGGATGTTTCCAAATGATACAACAGGGAACTGCATTCGAACTTATTGCCCCGATTAAGAGCAGTGCACCTCTCCAGCCATATAGATCACTAAAAGAAAACAAATTGCAATAATCTTTTTATATCAATCAACTCTTTCCTTTACTGGTACCGCTGTTTGTTTTATTTATAAAAGTTAAGAAATAGTAAATAAAAAAGGAACCATACTGATCGCCAAACTTGACAGAATTGCTAAATTTGCTGACACGATTGGTTTAGCCTGCTAATGTACGGCAGTGGTAATTAAGCTTCCGTTCGTGCCAGCTTGTATCGGTGAATCAGCAGCTAAACATGAAAATATTTTAAGGATAACTTCGTCTATTTAATATTGAGACATGCCAATCAAAACGATCGCAAATATTGCCATCAAAGGAACATCATGTTCCGAAAACTGGACACTTTTACGTCTCTACGTATTGTGTAATATGCTCGATAAAATTCAATATCTACAGAATCTCCCTAGCCAAGGGGGTTGCCATTAAGGGTTGAAACATCAGAACAGCGACCGCAATTTATCAAATCGTATCACAAGAGGCGGCTAAATGAATTTGAATAACTGGGGTCTATGCGTTTCTTAGCTACAGCAGGTGATGTTGTTTGGGCCCTTGGTGTTACTTTAAGTTTGGAACACCCGATGTTATTCAAAATCATCTTTCAAACAAATATCTAAGACCAACTAAGTCTGTACATGAACAAATGTTTATAAAGTTTATTGTCCGACGTATTCACAACGTTTCCAACGTCTTTTCCGGTCAATAGGGTATACACATGAAAATAGCTCTACATAATGTTTGTAAATTGAATTCGGAGCAAATATAATCTGTAACATTTTGTGTTTTCGTAGCAGAAAAGCAAAATGAGACTATCTATGATAGAAAATATGTATTGAGACTAAGCAATGTCAAGTTCACGGTTTTAATTGTAAAAAAACACGTTAAATTACTGCCTTACAATATAAATAAAAATGTCCGCACAAGGAGAGATATTGACTTGTAAGAGGAAGATGTTTCATATATTTTGCTCATTACCTCAGATATCTTAATAGATATGGATAAACCATTCCTCCAACTGCACCAGATACCGCCTGCATACCCATTAAGAGAAACCGTTTGTTTCCTGAGAATTGGCGGCCTATCACATCTGTTGCGCATATAAATATACACGATATGCCTATGCCTTAAACGAAAAATATTATGAGTATATGTAAATAACAAGTGTCATGTTTTGTAGTTTTATCACGTCAATACACTACTTATCGAAATATTATAACTTCTTTAAATATAACTCGCTTCAAGTCAAAGAGAGGAGAATTTTATTTTGTTAGATAAGTCAAATAAATCTAGTATTAATATGCCTTATATTCTATTTATTAAAGAATTGAAATATGCTATCGAAAATTATTTTTTACCACTGAAAACTCCGATAGATATCACAAGATAGGTCAAAGACGATGCAAAGAAACAAGCTTCAAGAGAAAAACTGAACAAAAGAGATCCAAATATCCCGATTTTTACGATTCCGAATTTCTTGATTAGCATTCCATTCATCAAACCTGCGATAAAATGTAAATCTATTACATATAGATTGTAGATTGATTTGTTTTGAACCTTTTAAAAGCAATTTGTCAAATTCATAAATAATTGTTTTTGAAACTGTTTCGAGATTTTGACACAATACTCATAAGTAAGTAAGTTATTGTATAAATTTAACTTAATAATTTCGTATGTAAAATAAACTTTTAACTAGAACATTTAATGAGACGCAATGTAAATTTTTTTTCATTTGTTTGTTTATTTATTTATTTTTTTTTTGGGGGGGGGGGAGGGGGGAGTATTGTCATATCACAGCAATTTCACTAGAAAGTTAAAGACCAATCCTTATTATAGAACGACTCTTAAAGATCCTGTATGTTTTTTAATTGATATTGTTACAGTGTGCATACTACACTTGCAAAAAAATTATATATGTATATAATTATGCAAATAAAACAATTTTCAAACATCAAAGAATATGTAAAATGTGTACTGCAAATAATTGTGCATATTATATGTAATCAATAAATTACATGCATTCATTTCTTATTGGAAAATTTGACTTAGAATTTATAGAAAATAAATTTCTAATTACCTCCCTTTATTTACATGAAATGTTAAATTGGGTAATATCTTTATAAATAATGCTTATTGGAACTTACAATATTGACAAATCTTAATTTTAATTTAAGCATCATATTTATGAAATAAAACCATGAAAAAAATAGCGTTACAGGATCTCTAACATTCTTTTTTAGAATTGCAATATAAATTCTTCTTATATTTATTTCTTTCCCGTAATTACGTAAGTTTTGCAGAAAGTCAAACTGAATTCAGATGGCCCCGGCCAAAAAAGAAGATAGTATCTCACGCAGATGGGAGAAATCTGTTACATGTATGTCAATCATCTGTTCTTATTTATTGCAGATGGCTATTTTGGAAATGTTACATCAGGTAAGTTCACTTTTTGTTATGATAAGGGTTCCAGTATTTAGATTTTCCTGAATATGGTACTTTCGAATATATAGACAACTTAGATATTTTTTCTATAAATGATTTCACAGAATTCTCCGGTCGTGCGTGATTGTTTTTTTTTACTTTAAATCTAAATTTAGTCTTACATTAAATTTTCACAATACAAAATCGGAAATTACTTAAAATAATGTAAAAACAATAGCCTTTGATACAAATATGGTAAACTCTTTTAACTGATTGATAAGCTCTTGCTAATTGCTCCTCTTATGTTTTGTCTATTGGACGTGCATTTATTTAAAGTATTTGTTAGCTATAGACATTGTACTATGTTTCATGCAATGAAATTCGATATTATCGCTTTTTTCTTAAATTCTATAAATTCAATGTATTAACGTACCCGTTAGTAGAAATACAGACACTAATGTTGATTGTATGACAGCCGTTTCAGCTCGATTTATTCCAAATGTTGTCATTATGTCAGTAAAAAAAGTTCCAAATGAGTATGAAAAACCGATTCCAAAACATGTTATCAAACAGCAGCTTATGATAACCAACACTTTTTGCAAAGGTCTGTTAATTAAAGAAATTATTCTTCTGATAAGACATATAAAATTTGTAACAATAATACATTTTAACAGTCAAATCGGTAAATATATGTTAAACGATAAAGATCATTTGGTCTAATTTATTCAATATGAACATGGCAGACTAAACATGATATTTTTCAATTTTACATATGAGTACAATAATATTTTTATATTGTGTTTCAGTAAAAGTAACTTATACTTACATCGTTTGATGTCTTTGATTCATTATGTCCATTCTTCACCTGAATTATGAACCCGTATAAGTTTATTAAGTTGTAAAACGTTTACAACTAGTCGTTGCGATGGACGTGTAATAAAATACACAAGCGTTCATAGTTTGGAGACCTTTCTATTGAAAATATATCAGAGTTATATCGTATACATATACATGCACAGTGCGTCAAGTAGAGTGCACTCCAGTTACCGTTTGTCGGGGATAAAACTAGAGCATGCTCGTTGATTGGCTACATTTTTTGGTTAAATTATTTTGACGACAGGGAAAGAGATAACGATAGAAAAGTCATTTTTAGATGCGCGCTATTATTGTTATCCCCCGACGATGAAATCGGGGATATTGTTTTGGCGTTGTCTGTCCGTCCGTCTTCCGTCCGTCCGTCCGAGCAACCAAATAGGGTTAGGGGGCCATCGAACAGTAAACAGAACAAAAGAGAACAATAGAGTTCATTCCGTAACAACAGAATAAGGGGCCATTGCCCTCTATTAAACAAAAGAAAATAACAAAAGAAATGGCCCTTTAGTCCATTTAAGTGGCATGTCCGCCCAACCGTCCGTCCAAATTTCGTTTCCGGACTAGTTCTCTGCAACTACTGGCTGGAATTCAACGAAACCTTTTTGGAATCATCAATATCAAAATGAGATGCGCATATCGTCAGCTTGTTCCAGTCAGACCCTTTAACTCAAAGTTATGGCCCTTGATTAGTTATGCAGTATGCATATAGAGTAAAAATCATTTCCGCGCTAAGTCTCTGCTACTACTGGCTGGAATTCAATGAAACTTTATTGGAACTTTCAATACCAAGAGGAGATGCGCATATCGTTACCTTGTTCCGGTCAGACACTTTAACTCAGAGTTATGACCCTTGATTAGTTATGCAGTATGCATATAGAACAATATTCGTTTCGCGCTACTTCTCAGCAACTACTGGCTGGAATTCAACAAAAATTTATGGGAATCATCAATATCCAGAGGAGATGCGCCTATAGTTGGCCTGTTCTGGCCAGACGCTTAAACTCACAGTAATGGCCCTTGATTAGTTATGCAGTATGCAACCAGAGCAATAATTGTGTCCGCGTGACTTCCATGCAACTACTGGCTGGAATTTAACTTTATGTGAACCATTAATACCAAGAGAAGATGTGCATAATAGTGCCTTGTTGAAGTTGTTCAGACCAGACCCTTCCTTACAGAGTTATGGCCCTTGATTAGTTATGTAGTATGCATATAGAGCAATATTGCTATTTCTTTGCAACTGCTGTATTGATTTCAACACCATGGATACACAAAGGCAATTTACATCTCATTGGTATGTCCAGATATTACTATTTAACAGAGAGTTATGGCTTTGGTATTGTCCCGAATATTTATCAAGTACAAAGAATATTACTGTTTATGCCATGATAGATATATAACTAAAGCCTTATGTCTTCAGTTGTTGTATTAGTGATAACCAGTACTCGGCGGGGATATAAATTCAACGAATTTGCTTGTTTCATATTGTGATGACATTGAACGTGTTTTTTTGGCCTATGATACAAAAGAGCAAGAGCATTAGAACACTCGGTAATCTGATTTATACTAGGGGGTTACACCCCCTCGTACCGATCAGTTTGCCTCGTGTACCGATGTTCTTTCTATTACTTACAATTCGTTTAACCGCAATCTTGGATAAACCGAGTAAATCGAGCAGTTGATTAGATTAGCAAATGTAATAATAAGAAAATATTTGAATAAAGATTTTCTTTTTAAGTTTACTGAATTTTCTAACGTTTTAAAATGAAAGTGTCTAACTTTATTTGAGCTGAAATGTAGTTATTTTTAGACATTTTAGGAGGCTCCTTAGTATCAGGATGATTTAACTTATTTAGTTGTGGTCAAAATAGTAAAGATACTAAAGTTTCAAGACCGTCTTTTGGAATACCAGCTTTCATTATCTAAACGTGAATTAAGGCGTCACTATATATGCATGTGCCAAGTTCTTTTATTCGATTTTCATTTTATAATTCACTGGTTTTATGCAAAGATCGAAATCGCTTTCATCATATATATTTCACGTGATAGAAAAATTAAATGGGACAAGGGACAAACAGAAAATAATGACATTGAAACTTGCAAAACAATTGTTACATAATGATTATGAATAATTTATTTCTAATTAAAGACAACTGATTAATCATTTATGCAAGTGCACATTTAATGAAAAAAATTGTCTTTGTAAAAACATGACATGAATTCTATTTGAACAAAGTAAAATTCATAGTCACTAGCTAAAATTGCATAAACAGTGAGAATAAATATAAATATGGGAAAACTTAGCATTACAAAACTTTAAGAGGTAATTAAAAATCCGAAACAACTAGATCATTAAAGTCTGATGAGATAAGGGACGATAACAATTTCTCGTTCATTATTTAGCTACCACTTCTCTAAGATGATGGTAATGATTGGTAAACTAGTTCTTTATCAATTATTTTCTGTAACATTTTGTGTTTCGTGCAGCTGACATACTACTAATTCGTAAAAAGATAAACAAAAAGAAAAAACAACAACAAAAACAAATAAAACATCAACAAAGAAACAAACAAACACAAAACAAACATTTTATGCTAGATATATTATCAATCTAACCAATGAGTGCAGGGGTGCGTTTGTCTAAATTTTATGCCGCTCAAACGACGGGGAATCATTATAATATCAATACAATTACTTTGTAGTGTCCTAATTTTTCTTCCTTTGGTCTTTTTATTTATGATTTTCATATATGGTTTATTTTAACGTGACAGTCATGTCAAAGATAATGAATTCTACTATTATTAGAGATTCACTTGCAACCTGGTCTTTATATAGTTTTCATTGTAAAATCAGAATAAATATCAACAACAAAATGAAAAAAGCTTTACCTTGTATGGTAGAGAGAAAAGGAAAAAAGAGATTTAAATAGCAATGGAGGTCACAGCATTAGGAAGAGAGACCCGTCAAATAATTAGAAGGAGGTTAATATGTCTTTACCAATAATCAAAGCTTAACTGATTTTATTTTGTATTATGATCACCATTTTGACAAAAGTGAATGTGAAAATCTTGTTGATTTTCAACAATTGTTAGGAATAATCTCAAATGAGAACATTATGTCAGTGGTACCACTTGACTAAGACATGCAGACCGGTAAGGTTAGATCGGCAAGGATTTGTACTATCTAAAGTCTCAGAGAAAATGAAATAATACATTCTTTCCCTAGAAATTACTAAAAACAGCTCTATTGGGCATAACTGTTAGGCAATGATGGAAAGGAAATTGTTCAGTTCAACAACTGCGGTTTGTGTACACTTCAAAATGTCTTTATTTATTTCATCAAATTTCGACTTGTCATGGTATGTTACCAAGTCTGTAAATTGAGGTTCAACCATTTTTTTTGTGAAACAACACCATGATGTATATTATCTTTAAATACTGGGTGATAGGTTCTTGAATATATAAATTTTCTGAAGCTTGATCTATGTTTCTCCTGCGAACAAATCATTCTTAGACAACCATGTTCTATATAAGATAAGTTCCTTCCTACCAGCCTTTACGTTACAACAGTAGTAATAGACATTCCTTTTGGAACTCCAATGAGAGCAGGTAAACAAATACAAGCCAACGAGTCTTGACAAAGTGAATGATATTAGTAAAGCAGCTGACAGAACAGAACAGATCATAGGCACATATAAACTGCAATACAATGTCTGGTACATGTAGCAAACGCCCAAATTTGCAAAACAAAATAAGCAAAAACAAACCGACGCATTATCGTTCGTTAAACTATTGTCGCCCAAAGATATTACGATGAAGTTGAAATAACGAGTGGCTTACATTACTCCGACAAAACTGATTTGATAAACACTTGTATATTGTTGTCAACACAACATGAATTTAACGGCTTATTCCCTATTGCCAACACCTTACACGACAACAGTTTTGGTTGCCTTTTCACCATTTAAAACAGGAAAACTTACGGCGAATATTGAGTCCGAAACTTGACCAACAGTTTGTTCAGTATTTGTAATTGTAACAGCATAACAACTGACTTCTCTTTCTACATGCAAACTGTTCTGAAATTCGCAATTTGATTTGAACTGTTTCCATGTTGCATGCCTGTCTTTAAATTTAGTGGCTGTTTCCAAATGATACAACATGGCGTATTGAAACTTAAAATGGCGGAGCTAAACAAAATACAAGCTTCTTTGAGAGGGCGATCATAACGTTTTCACATTACTTTTAAAAAGCGGTTTTAAATTTTTAAAAAAATCCAGCAATAAATAAATAAATAAATAAATAAAAAAATAACAACAGCTTATTAGACTAAATATAAATACAAACAACACAAAGAAAATAAATTTTGTGACGGTTAATTTGTAATGCTTAATAGCTTTCTGCCAAAAATGTATTGAAAAGATAGGGCTGGTAAGAGTCTTAACTACATTTGGTTTTCAATTAACCAGACATATTGCCATGAATTCACGTTTGCAGATTAAGTGACAAGGTGCTGAATAGTTTCCAGTTCTGATGGCTACAGACAATTCTTTGGGATATCTTTGAAATTTAAAGATTTTTGTCGGTCAGTGTACATTTTGTGCCGGTTTTTCACCAGTCGAAAAACTGAGATTTTAAATTTAGCTTCGAAAACGTCTTTTTTAACCCAATCTGTAAGATAGTCTCTTAGTACGAGTATTACCTCTCTTTATTTTAAGTTCTCTTTTTTTACTAAATCTAAATAATTAAAACAGAAAAAAACAACACAGATTTGAAAGTTGCATCTGGATAGTGTAATCTATTAAAAGCATTACTTACAAAAAATTACATGAAAATTGCAGACTCGGTTTGATTGAGTCTGTACATGAGGGGCAATGTCAAAGTTCAACATACCTCTTTGGAGTCCATTTAACACATTCCTTTTGTTTCATTCTGGGTAAAGTTTCATTCATCAGAAAGATGTCAACTCACTATTTTAAATAAACCGTACTACTCTTAAAAGACAACGACTCTCGTTTGATGTACAACTCTTATGAAAAATCTAAATTCGGTTAATTAAACAAAAATGTTGTTTTTATAGGAGTATTTCGTGCCAAGAAGTAACTATAAATGATAATAAAAATAATTATTTCATATTTAATGTCACAATTGCGTGTAAACTCTTTATATGCCAAGACAT